TCACGCCCGCCGCACGGGCACGGGGAGCAGCCAGCGCCACGCGGGGCCGCGGCCCATCACCTCGCGCAGCGCCTCCCGCAGCGCCCGGGGCTCGCCCGGCGCGCCCTGCAGCTGCTCGATGCCCGTGCGCCCGCTGCGCAGGCGCTCCGCCTGCTCCCTTTGGACGCCCGAAATGGGTACGGAAAGAATGGGTACAATGCCCAACAACAAATGCTGTCCCAAACCAACAGCGGCCGCTGTTGGGCAGGCGGCCCTCCGTCTCGAATGGACACAGGCCGCGGCGGCGTGGACAGCGAATCCTGTTCAAAATGAACAGGAACTGGTGTTGGGCATGGTACCCATTCTTTCCGTACCCATTTCGGGCGTCCAGACCTTAGGCTCAAGTCGGGCGTGTCCCCCTACGGGGGGATTTTCAACGAAAAACTAATAACAAAAAGTGCCCCAAAAACAATGCCCCCCAAAAGGCCAAAAACGACCCCCAAAATAGTCCCCAGACTATTTATGGATTATTTTTGGATTATTTTGGTGTTTTTTTATTTTTATTTTTTATTTTTCGTCGAAAATCCCCCTGTAGGGGGACAGGCCCGACTTAACCTTAGGCGGCGCGCCCAGGGGGGAACTGAGAAGGGGCGGGCCTTCTCAGCAGGCTTGGAAGTCCCCCAGCCTTCTGAGAAGTTTTCAAAGGTTTCCCCGAAGACACAAAAAAAACTGCTCAAAAGGCGCGAGGGCTTCTGAGAAGTCCTGCCGCCTTCTGAGAAGGCCTTCTCCTTCTCACTTCCCCCCTTCGCTCGCCGCCGCTCCCTCGCTGGAGGACCAAGCCCGGACTCTGCCGCGCAGGCAGTCGGTCTCGGCCGTTCGCGGCCCCCAGGGGTGCATCGACCACGGGTGCGCAAGCCTGGCCATCGCTCGGACGTCCATTCCCTGTGTTTTTGTTGCGGTTTCGTGCGTGGTTTTTTCGCAGGATGCACACGTCCGAGCGATGCCTAGAAGTGTGCGGGGTGAGCACCGGGCTGACATGGGCCGACAGGTGAGCGGGGGCTGCGCAGAGGACGCGGGCTCAAGGGCACGCCCAGACTCCAGGCCCGCCGTACTTTGGCGGACTCCCCGCCTTGAGTTTGCTGGAAGTGCACCCCGAACGAGGCCAAGAAATAGGGCAGAACTTTCCGTCTCGGCAAAAAACAATCGGCTATTTCCACAAAGGCATGGCGGAAGCAGCGACGGCAAAGCAGGGCGGACATCGACACCTGGGGAGCTTGAAAAATGAGGCAGCAACTTCCGCCCAACTTGCGAGATCGCAAAGCAAGGCGGATTTGGAGTAAGGGGAAACGATATCTATACCACGCTGGCCCAGCGACCCCATCAGCGCGCTACTGCGGAACAAGTGTTACGCTGTTGTGCAGAGAGTGACCCTGACATCTTGGCTTCGCATTTTGTTCGCCCCTGGCGTTTTCGCCCGTCCTCGGGCCCCAGAACCATCACACATCGAGGCGGTTTCAGAAATGCTGCAGGAAGATCGGGTCTAGGGCTCCGGTTGTGATTTTTCGCGATGTCACATTTTTTCGCCGTCGGCTCTCAGCGAAGGAGTAACACGCGGAGTTTTGGAAGACGACGCGCGTAGTCACTGATACAGCGCCTCTTGGAGCCCTTCTTGGAGCTCTGTTCCTTTGACCAGTCGCCCCGATCGACAACACGAATCTGCGCGTGCCAAAACTTTTAAGGAGCAGCGAAAGGGCTCGCCATGAAAAAAATCAACGGGGCGCATGTACACCGAAGGAACCACCGAGCCCCTTCCGACCTCGAACGGGACCTCACTTCAACGAACTGACTGCACTCGTTTTGCGCCTCCCGACCTCAGCAGACCCCACGCGAAGCGCCCCGCGGCCAGCGCCGCCACGAGCACGGCGGCTGAGGCCATGGCCTTGAGGGGCAACGATCGGGGGGACTGACTAAGAGGACAACATCGACCTGGAATCGGCGATACATCGCCGGTATACCGGCGATAAGCACCTGATAGCGAATCCGCACGCTCTTGGGCGGGTCGGGGCTAATCCCACCAGCCCTCTGGGCGTGAGTGGTTTAGGGAGTTTCCTCTTCCAACCCCCTTCTCCCCCGTCGGGGAGGGGTTACCCCTCCCCCTCCCCCCCCCCCCCCCCTTGGGTCTGGAAAAGGCCTCTCGCGAGGCGTTGGAGCGTCCAAGATGGCATCGGCGAGGAAGCCCTCATCACTCATGTTTCCAAGGTTTTGGCCACATGTCGGCCTCCTGAGGGGAGGGGCGTAATTTCCTACGGCCCCTCCTTTGATCGATATCTTCCAAGATGGCTCCGAGATAGCCTCCGAGACTCCCAAGCAAGATGTGCCCAGGAGGCCCCGAGAGGCCTCCAAGATGCCCCCCCCCCAGCTGCTCCCACAAGACCTCCAAGAGGCCTCCAAGAGGACCCCAGAGGCTGGCACCCAAGACGCCCCAAGAGGCCTCGGCGAGAAGGCCAAACTCACTGATTTTTGCTACAGTTTTGGCCACAGGTTGGCTTCCTGGGGGGGACCCTACAGAAGCACACCAAGACGCCTCAAAAGGCCCCCGGGACTGCCAAGACACACCCGAAACGCTGAGAGGACTCCAAGAATCTCTCGAAAGAAATCCGACGAGACCCCGAGAGGCATCCAAGAGGCCTCTTGTTTTTCTGTTCGCTCTCCTCCTCCCCCTCCTCCTCCTGCTGCTCTTCCTCCTCCTCCTCCTGCTCCTCCTCCTCCTCCTCTTCGTCATCAGCATCAGCATCAGCATCAGCATCAGTATCATCATCATCATCATCATCATCATCATCATCATCATCATCATCATCATCATCATCATCATCATCAGCATCATCATCATCATTATCATTATCATCGTCATCATCATCATCATCATCATCCGCCTGCTCTTCCTCCTTCCTCCTCCCTCCTCCCTTTCCCCGCTCCCTTCTCCTCCTCCTCCGATTCCTCCTTCATCCTCCCCGTCTTGAGACGTTTTCCACAGCCCTCTATTCCACTGCATTTTCCCCCACATCCATGATCAGGGCAACTCGTCAGGGCATCGTTTCTGGATGGGCTGGTGGGGTTACTTGTTGGTCCGCGGGCGCGCGAAACCGAGTCAAACGCCGAGCGTGCTAGGGCGGGCCGCGCTCCGTAGCAAAAGGAAAACAGCGAGGCGAACGGCAACCAGCAGGCTGAAGGGAAGTACAACAATACCACCTGGCCTGCGAGCAACTCCCGGAAGAGCGTGCCGATGACGACGAGCACGAAGACCAAAGGAGGAGCCACCCTTGCCGAACAAGAAGAACATTACATAACATGAGGCGCACCGAGGGCGGCGAATGATGGGCGCAGACAAAATGGCGCGACAGAGCCAGGACGCGGAGGAAAAGGTGGCACACCATGCCTCATGGGTAGAACTTCGCCGTGTGCGAGCACAAGAATGAATACGCTGCCAAAGCGGCGCGGGAGAAGGCCCCTCGGCAGCCAAGTCTGCGGGTAGCGGTGCCACACCATGGGCACCCCGAGCCAGTCGGAAAAGACACGGTCGACGCAACCCCAGGTAGACAGGAGCGACATGGTCGCACAATGTCGTACATGTAGGACCGTGGGCCATACTTGACAAGCGTCGGCAGGTCATCCAAGTAGCCGCGATCGGCGCATACCCGAAGGCACGAACCTGGGGACTGATGGCCGGCACGAGAGGACCGCGCAAGTGAGCGCCGCCCATCAGGTAGCCCGAGGGTGGAGCGGCGGGAGGCCGTGCGGAGGCCGGCGCCCGCAAGTGCCTGCCAGGGGGACCGTGACGCCCTGTGCGAGGTGGGCCACTGGCAGGGATGGGGCACGTTCGTCCAGCCAACCGACATGAACACTTGCGACTATCACGTGGTGGGACGGACGGAAAGGAAGCCTCAAAGGAGCTGGTGCGGCACCAGCCGGACCAGATCCAAAAGAGGCTCATAAGAGGCAGCTGATCGCTGCAAGCACTCAGAAAGCCTCGGCAGAGGAATACCCAAGGTAAGCAGCTGATCGATGCAAGCAATAGGAAAGCCTCCGCAGAGAAATGTCCAAGGTAAGCAGGAAGCAAATCACTTCGACGGAATGGGTGACCTCGGCAGAGGGATATTCAAGGTAGAGCTGGCAGCTGATCGCAAAGAAACAAAGGACCTCGCCAGAGGCATACCCAAGGTGAAGCCCCGTCGCAGCGGGCCAACGTGGAGGAAGTGACGGCAGGAGGAAAGGGGGCAGGGGAAGGCAGCTGATCGCTGCAAGCACGAGAATAGAAGCCCACCCCAAGCAGGGTGCGAAGAGGAAGGCGCGGTGGGAATAGCGAAAGGTGGCTACCAACGGTCTCTTGTACGTAGCAGGTTCGTCCCAGCCGTGGCTGGGCTTGCCCTGCTTGCTGCTTCGTGCCACGGCGGCATCGCGGTCTAGCCTTTTGCCTGGGCGTCCGGCGTTGCTCCAGTCGTCCGTCGCCTGGTCCTGGCGCGCGCGGTCGAAATCGGTAAATCTGTGCTGTTGTCTGAGGGAATGGGCGTCGTAGCCGTTCTGTTGCCAAGTAACCAGGGATTCGTCGCAGGCGACCTGGGATTGCATGCGTGGGACTGGTGGGACGAGACCGAGACGAGTTGCTTTGCGCCCGGTCCAGCTGTGCCAGACCCTGTTGAATGTGGCTCCGAGCTCGGATTGCATCCTTCTGGTGAAGTGAGGGCTGCTTTCGGCCGCACCTTGTGCCTCGACCAGGTAGGTACCTTTGGAGCCACCATGGCCCCTTCAACTAGCCGCCGAATTCCGAAGGAGTTGCGCGGTAATTTTTTATTGCTTGAAAGCATGCAGCGCTGGGCGCGTAGGCCAGCCTGCAATGCCCCCTGGCGAGCATCCATTTTTGAATCGAACATCACCGCGGCCGTCGCCATCATCACCGCCAAAACCACAAGATAACAAACATTACAATCATTGTCGGGCTGACGGCAGGTCAGCCTGCGCCGCCGCACATCGACTCTTTGCCACAGCCGAGTGCTGCGAGTTCCCAGCAGCATGTGTCGACAGCTGTCAAAAGCAGCACCGCAAAGGGCCGCCAGGCGGGCCGCCGAAAGGGCCGCCGAAATCGCCGCAGAACTTGCCGCCGAACTTGCCGCCGACTTTACCGCCGAAATTGCTGCCGAAATAACTGCGAACTCCGCCAACACAGCCGCCGAAATTCAGCCGCCGAAATCGCGGCCGAAATTCAGCCGCCGAAATTGCCATTGCCCCGTCGCAAGCGAAATCACTGTTTTATGAAGCGCGATGATGCCGCGGACACAGGCATAGATTCACAGCCAAGGTCAAATTCGGCCTCTTTTCGGCGGCGCGATATGGAATTTCGGCGGCAATTTCGGCGGCAATTTTGGCGGCAATTTCGGCGGCGATTTCGGCGGCTATTTCGGCGGCAATTTTGGCGGCAATGTCGGCTGCCCTTTCGACGGCTCTTTCGACGGCCCTTTCGTCGGCAATGTCGGCTGCCCTTTCGACGGCACTTTCGGCGGCCCTTTCGGCGGCGTTGCTTTCGCCAACTGTCGACAATGGCTGCTAGGAGCTCTCAGCACTCGGCGGCCCCGGCGGGCCCTGAGAGGGCCCTCGAAGGGCCTCGCCAGACTGCGTCTGCGAAGTAGCCCAAGCCATGCGTGATTTGTACGCGATAGCCTGCACAACGTGCAACATGAATGCCTCGCATTCTGCGGCAGCGCGCCCAAGGGTGCGCGGGGAAACCACCGCGCGACAGGGCGCGCTTGCACGCTGAAACCTTGTAAAAATAAGTTAGGTCTGGAATGGATTTCGGCGCCCGACCCTTTTCGTCTCCAAAGAAAGAGCCACTACGATCATCTGATTGCCGTCATGGGTGCGGCAGTCGGTTGAGCTACATCGCGCCAGACTCCTCGCACCCTCATGCCAACAGCTTGGCTGCCAGGGACCGTGCGTACTGCGTGGCCCTGTCCCAGGGGTCCATAATCCCACGGCTTGTAGCTTGACCAGCTGTATCCGCACGCGTGCCCGTCACCATGGGCATCCCAGGTGGAGCTATAGCTGGTCCACCTGCTGCTGTTGGAGCTCCGCGCTCGGTCCGCGTGCCGCTCGGCCTGGTCGTAGGGGCTCAATGCTTGGTCGCGCCCCTTTCCGTGTCCCTCTGTGCGCATCCAACGTCTCCTGTGCTGGGTCACTGCTGCGCCCAAGAGTCGGGGGGTGCTAGCGGCTTCCCTGTGTCAGCGTTGTCGTGGTCACTGCTGGCAGCCGCAGCAGCGCAGAGGATCACGGTGCGGGAAGGGGACTTGGAGCTGGCCTCCTCGTCGGTAGGTGATGGGGTGGGGTCGTCGTCCGCTGGGGGTTCTGGGCTCGTCTGTGGTGTGTCGGCTTCCGGCCCCCAAGTCCTGTCCGGGTCTGGGTCTGAAGCCTGGCCAAGCGTTCCGTCTTCCCTCGGGGGCTGAGAAGATGGAAGTCCCCCTTGGTCGCCCTCTTCTGCTCTGGCCTGTGCGCTGGATGGAGGGCGGGCTGCCTGCGCGGGCGTGACCGCGCCGGACGACGCTGCTGTTGGGTCTGTGTCATTAGCAAGTCGGGTTCGAGGTCTGCAAGCCAGTCGACGAGGGTGCTAATGCTGTGGTGGGCGGGGTCGGCGTCCTTGAGCGGAGCGTCCCTCTGAGCACAGAACCTCCAGGCGTGCCCTAATATCAAAGCCTTTTGGGCAAAGCGACGCACCAGGCAAACGGCCGCCCATCTCTTGCCATCCCAAGGGATGCCAGGCGGGACTCCGTCGTCGGTGAGTGTGCTTGTGTAAAGCGAGCAGATGTAGGTACAGGCCAGTTTGTGTCCCCAGGCGTTGTCACTCTAGTCGTCCAGTTTGGGGCCCTCCTGGGAGGTGAGGGCGATCCAGGCGTCGTCGGAGGCCGGGTCCAGACAGCGGACGTGCTTTGCCAGTGTCAAGCGAGAGGCCGTTTCCGTCCCACGTTGGTCGTCCGCTGCTGCGAGATAGGTCTCTACATCACGGTGACTCACGGGGGGGCACGCGGGTGGGGTGAGACGCGGCAGGATGCTGAGGATGTGTTCGCACCGACTGGTGTCTGAACGGTCGGGGCGGCGAAACTGGGGTGGCGTCACGTCGCCCTGCCTTGCCACAGCCCGCGGGTGGCCGAGCTCGCCCCGCAGGCCGTCGTCGGCGGTAGGTCTGGGCCTGGGGGGCCTCTTCGTTGGTGAGGAAGGAAGTACATGGGGACAGAGTCCCTGTCCATAATGACCTTGAGGACGCTGGGCGCGATGCCCCAGATGTGCACCAGGCAGATGCGGCAATGCCAGGACGCGTTCCAGGAGGCGCCGGCCCAACACTCCGCCCAGCGGTCCCACTCAGGGAGGCCGCATCGGTCGTCACATCCCAGGCCGGAGCTGGACCTCCAGACAAAGGAGCCGGGCGCGGGGTGGCCTGGTTCCCACGTGTACTTGACCGGCTCCCCACTGCAGCTGTCGCAGATGGTGGGGTAGGACCCAGACTCGATGGCGCCAGTGCCGAACGCGACGATCTGGGCCCCCCTGGCACGCCTCGGCGAGGCACAGCTGCTGGAGAGCACCAAGAGGTTGGAAAACCGCCGAGAGCCAACGAAAACGCCCGAAAACCTGACTTCGAACCCGCAACGTCCCCCTCGGAGCCCCGTGCATTGGATTTGTTGACCTGAACCGTGCCCTGGTGATGATGAGTACGCCAAGGCCGACCAGCCTGGGCTGGCCCGAAAGAGGACCCACGGCGGTGGCTAACGCCAAGCGCGAGACCCCATGGGGACCCAAACAAAAACCTCAGTCGGAGTCACTTGACTCCTGTCCCCGCCCATCGCTGCCCCTGATTGAGCAGGGACCGACCGTCCCGGCATTCCTACAGTCCTACCACGACATGTTCTTAGAACCCCAACATGTTCTAAGAACAAAAACAATGTTCTAAGAACATAAGCCCGACGCGATACAACAGGCCAGACTCCGCCAGAAATGTTCCGAGAACATGTCGTGGAAGCCACAAGAAGGTTCTTGGAACATTGCTTGGCAGGCCTATAGGCGAGCCCGGACGCTTCGCTCGGGGATGGACAGACCTCCCTTTAGTAAAACGTGGTTTAGTGAACAACGACCTGAGGCCCAAACCTGGCGGGCGCAGGCCTGGAAAATAACGGCCACGGCGCCCTCTCGAGAACCGAAAACGGACAATCCACTAATCGACGTGTCACTGTTGGAGGTTCTGTCCACCCCCGATTCGCCACTGCTTGACCGGAAGCCACAAAAAGTTCTTGGAACATTATTCCCAGACCCCCGACGTCATGATTTTTTCATGACGTCGACCCCTCGAGGTCTCGACCCATTCCCCGGGACCGGCTTTTCGTCCTGAGTCTTTTTGTTGACGGTCCCGAGGGCCGGTGAGGGCCCCCAGAGGCCCAAAAATAGCGAAAAGCCTCCCGTCGTGATTTTTGTCATAACTCGAGGGGGTCTGGGTTTGGCAGGCCTATAGGCGAGCCCGGACGCTTCGCCACTGCTTGACGGCAGGGGCCGCGGCCTCGGGCCTCCCCCTCAGGAGGAGGAGGAGGAAGAGGAGGAGGAGGAGGAGGAGGAGGAGGAGGAGGAGGAGGAGGAGGGGGGAGGAGGAGGAGGAGGAGGAGGAGGAGGAGGAGGAGGAGGACGAGGAGGAGGAGGCCTGGCCCCTCGGCATCTGCCCGCCCGGCGGCCCGCCGCCGCCGCCGCCCGCGGCCGCCTCCTCGGCCGCCTGCGCGGCCGCGGGCGCCCAGCGGGCCGCCGCGCCCCGCGCCACGGCCGCGGCGCTGCCGGCGCAGTGCAGCAGGAGGTAGGCCAGGAAGAGGAGGAAGTGCTTCTGGTTCTGCGCTGGCAAGGCTTGGGACTCGAGAGGCCGCCAACGTGCTGACAGAACGAGGCGAAGTGGGGGCCCTCGGCAGGCCCCAGGAAGAGGAGGAAGTGCTTCTGGTTCTGCTCATGGCAAGGCTTGAGAGGCTCGAGGGGCCCATGCCTCCAACGTGCCGGCAGAACCGAGGCGAAGGCTTTGTCGGCAGGCCCCAGGAAGGGGAGGAAGACGTGCTTCTGGTTCTGCTCTGGCCAGGCTTGGGGGAGCCCCTCCAACGTGTGGAAACATTTGTTTTTTGGGGGGCGGAGGAGCGCACAGCTAGCGGTCGCTGACGCGTTCGGATGGCCGGCGGGTCGCGCCGTGCCACGCTGTGCACAACAGGACATGTGGAGAGGAGGAGGGCGGCCAAACGCATTGAGAAACCGCAGCGACTATCTGTCGTTCCTGCTCGTCGGTGGGAGATGGTGGGAGGCCCTCGCCCCCGGCAGCAAACGACTTGGGCCGCGCAAGACCGGCCCCGGGCAGCGGCGCGAAGCTCCGGGGGTCCCGCGCCGAGGAATTCCGAGACTTCTCGGAGGCCCAGGGCCGCTGACACGGTGCAGCCCCTCGAGATAGGCAGGCCCAGGTGTGCTCCCTCAGATCTGGGCCTTGCTAGTTTCCACGACGGGCTTTTTCGCCGAGTTTCGGGCCTCAGGACCCTCACAGATCGATCTGGCTGGAGAACGACGCAGGAAGATGGGGTCCGGGGCTCCGGTCGCGATTTTTGCGATGCTGCACTTTGTTCGCAACGTCGGATCTCAGGGGTTGGGGATGTTGAGGGTGTTGGGACCGACCCTGGCTACTCGGGGGGGGGGAGGGCCTGAATCCCGCTCTGCCCTACTTTGGGCGATGTCGTCCGTAGGACGGAAATCTCCGCTCTGCTTTCCGAGCTTCTGTGAGGTCGATTTCCGCCCTACCTTGCCGTCGCTGTTTGCGATATACCTTTGCGGAGACATCCGCTCTAATTGCTTGAGGCGGCAATTTGATCCTACTTTTTTGCATCATTTGGGGTGCGTTTCCGCCATATTTTGAATCGGACAATCAACCAAAGTATGGCGGATCCGGAGTCAAGGGGGGTCGTGCTGAGGCCAGCTGGGAGTATCTCGGGGAGCTGTCAGGGCGCGACCCCCAAGCCTTACCACTCTGCTCCCCGACGCAATTGTTCATCCACATGCAGTGGTGGTCCATCTTCCGGACGCAGCGCCTGCATGTGCTGCAGTGGTGTGCGCGCGGCGGCTTCGCGACCCTGCACTTCCTGAGAGGAACCACAGCGCATAGACATAAACTCTCGGATTTCGTGGCTCGGCGCTGGACCCCCCCCCAGCGCCGACCCAACAAGCCCGCGCGGACCTCCGAAAGCTTACAGTCAAAATTTATAAGAAGGACAGGCGTGAAGTACGCAAGGGCCTTGCCAACGAAGTTGGCAGATTCTAGGCGGCGAACTGCCAACACCCCAGGGACGCAAGGGTACGCTGACCAACCCCCTTCCTTGCCGAATGAGCGTTCCGCCGCGCAGCGGAAGGACATCGCCCGCCCCAAGGGTACCCTGAGGGCTTGGCCAGTGAAAACGGCGAGGGACGGGCCGCCGAGGCAAGGACGCAAGGGCACCCACAGGAAAATCGCGAGTCCTTCCTTATCATGGTCTTTGACTGTATGCCCATCAAGCTTGCTCTTCTTCGAGCTTCCTGCACTCGCCCTTGGCGGCCTCCCCGGGGGCACCCGCCTCGGTCAGGCCCGGCCCCTCGCCCAGCGGCACCGCGCCTGGGTCCTCGGGGAGCTTTGAGACAACGGCAGCTCAGAATCGGCCCCTGGACCCCACCCTGGGGTCCAAACGCATAGAGTCAAAACTGACTCTGAGGATGCGCGATGAGGGTGCAAGCCCATTGGACGCCCGTGTTGAAGCTTTTCGAGCGGGGCGCGGCCGTCAAAAGGGGTTTGGCATGGGCCGAAAGAGCAAGGATGTAAGGGTACCCCTGGGAAGGCTACCGCTATCGGGTTCGACTGCAAATTTCCCGAGCTGCGTCCAGCCGTGGCGAACAAGGCGCCCCCCGAAGGCCAGCTACGGAAAGTTCGTGTCGTGACGACCCCGGCATTGGTCTCTGACACCGCGTGGACCGTTCAAATCGTTCAACGATCGACGGCTGTTCGATCGCCAGTCGTTTCATGTTTGCTGGGTCTGGGCCACGGGCGGCGTTCGACATTGAACGCCCGCACTGGGGTCGCAGCCGCGTCGACACGACATAGTCTCAACACGCAGAAACACGGGCTCGACCGCGCGGACCTTCGAGCGCAAGCTGCCCGCGTAGGGTCGCGCGTGAGCGCCCTCGTTTCCAATGTGGCGTGCCGCGCTGGCGGCCCGCGCAAAGCACCGCGTAGGGTCGCTATGTCATCTCGTGTAAAACCCGTTTCTTCTCGTCGCTACACTGGCCATCCGCTGAGGTCCGCCAGCACGCAGGACAGGTGCGCCGCGATGTGTCAATCTGTCGGCTGGCCGAAGTCCTGCGCCGCGCTGGCGATGCCAACTGATATTGAATCGGGGGCCTTCGGTTGACGTCCGCCAGCAGGCAGGACAGGTGCGCCGCCATGCGTCTAGCTATCGACTGGCCTCACCATGATTTCGACTGTGAAGCTTGTTCCCTCGCGTCGCTCGCGCTGGCCTTAAGTCGGGCCTGTCCCCCTACAGGGGGATTTTCGACGAAAAATACAAAAAACACCCCACAAATAATCAACAACTAATCCAAAAATAGTCTGGGGACTATGTTTTGCATAGTTGTTTGACTATTTGGGGGTCTTTTTGGGGGTATCTGTGATATTTCGTCGAAAATCCCCCTGCAGGGGGGACACGCCCGACTTCACGCTGGCCCTCCGCTGAGGTCCGTCAGCATGCAGGCCAGGTGGGCCCAGGCGGTGAGCGCCAGGCTCGCCTGGTGCGCGCCGCCCCAGGCCCGCCACCCGCCGCCGAGGGACGGCCGCAGCACCGCGAGGCAGAGGGCGGCGTCCGCCCCGAGGAGGAGGGCGTGGGCGACGGCCGCGTAGATGTAAGTCGGGCGCGTCCCCCTACAAGGGGGATTTCCGACGAAAAATCAACAAATACCCCAAAAATACCAAAACAAAAATAATCCAAAAATGAACAAGAAATAATCCCCAGGCTATTTTGGGATAATTTTTTGGCTATTTTTGGGTATCTCTTATTTTCGTCGAAAGTCCCCCTGTAGGGGGACAGGCCCGACTTAGATGACGCCGCACTCGTCCTCCACGCACCTGATGGGGCAGTGCCACGGTAGAGGGGAACAATTAGCGAACACCCCCCCTGCCCCCCAAACTCAAGGTTGGCACGCGCGGGGGAGACTGCGGTCGAGGTGCAACTCGTCAGACCCACCGCCAACTCTGAACATGGGGGGGAGGGGGAGGCGTTCACAGATGAATGTGGCATGAGTGGTCGCTATTTTTTCCGAGGCCTGTACCGTAGGGGAACACAAAGTGACATAAACATGAAAACTCGGAGGCCCGCGCGGATTTCTCGGATCGGCGCTGGACCCCCCTCCCTGGCGCGCGGAGCGCGCCAGGGGCGGCGCCGGAAGCGCCGCCGGGGGGCGCCAACGCAGATCCGAGAAATCCGCGCGGGCCTCCGAGTTTTTGTGTTTATGCCACGTTTTGTTCCCCTAGGCCAGCACCCAGCCGCAGGACTCCAGCTCCCGACGCCACCTCAGCATTCCGACCTGCCGCTTCCAGCCTGGAGCTGCGAAGAATCTCCGTGCGAGCCCGAGCTCTGCCGTTATGTCGGGCCTGTCCCCCTACAGGGGGATTTTCGACGAAAAAAAAAACCCAAACAGATAAAACAAAATACTCAAAAAATAATCCCCAGACTATTTCTGGACTATTTTTTGACTATTTTTGGGGTATCACTTTTTGTTCCCCTGTGGCTGGAGGTCAAACTGGTTGGGGTCGAAAGGTGAAGTCCAAGCGCACGCAACGCTAGGGGGTAGCAGCCCAAGGGGGACACATCTCGACGGCGCGGCGAGAGACCACCGATAGTGGACAGTGCGACGGCGCGCTCCTGTGCGGGGAAGGGCTATCGGGCCCCATGTCAGCAATGTTTTTTTTCCCCCCCAGGCAGGTAGGCTCCGTGGCAGTCGAAGTGGGCGCAAACTGCCTTAACAGTTTTAACGCCGGGTAAGGCGCATACTGCCTGAACAGGTTTAACGCCGGCTGCGCCGAAACAAAGGAAAGGGGCGTGCCATGTGCCTGTACCCCCCGAGGCCTAGACAGCCATTGTGGAGGGGCCCTGGGACACACAAATAAATAGACACAAATAACCGGATTCCCCATATTTTCCGATATTTTCTGGGTTTTCGTCTTCCCCCCCACTTCCCGTATTTTCCTACGTTTTCTGGGGAGTCGACGATTGATTGTGTCTGTGTGTTTTTTCCCCTCCTGACATTGGTACTTCCCACATCGTGCACACGAGGGCGAGGCGGACGGGGTCTCGGTGCAGCCTCCCCCGAGCCAATCCCCTGCTCACGGTGCCCCGCGGTCTCCGGGCCTGAAGGGGCCCCAGGACACACCAACAAAGGCACACACAAAGCAAACGATCCCCATCTCTTCCCATATATTTTGGGGGGGGGGGTCTTCACCCTCCCCCCCCCCACTTCCCACATTTTCCCATCTTCTCTGGGGCATCGACGATCAATTGTGTCTGTGTGTTTTTTGAGCAGGGACCGACCGTCCCGGCATTCCTATTGTCCTACCACGAAATGCTCTTAGAACCCAGAAATGTTCTGAGAACAAAAACCATGCTCTTAGAACAGAAACACGATGTGTTCAAACAGGACACCCTCGAGCAGAAATGTTCTGAGAACACTTCGTGGAGACCACAGAAAGCTTCTTAGAACATTGCTTGGTAGGGCTATAGGCGAGCCGGGACGCTTCGCCACTGCTTGGGTTTTCGTCCTCCCCCCCCACTTCCCATATGTTCCCATCTCCTCTGGGGCATCGACGATCACTTGTGTCTGTGTTTTTTCCCTCCTGACATACCTCGGCTCTCCGGCGGCCGTTCGGGGGCGATCTCCAGCCTCCCCCTGGACGCCCCTCGCCGAGGCGCGGCCTCGAGAACGCCTCCCGAGGCTGGAGAACCGCCGAGAGCCCACGCCGAGCGCCCGAAGACCTCGAGCCTCGAACCTCACGTCGCCCTGACGAGCCTCGAACCCACGCAAGCGCCCGAACCTCAACAAGCGAGAGGGAGGATGAAGGACAATCAGGAGCAGCCGTAAAAGGAGGAGGCGACGACTATGCTCAGTCGCCTCACTTCGGTTCCTTTCGACCTAAGGGTGTGTACATGGGCGTAGTATATCCTAAGTGCCGAATGCTCGTGGGCCAGGTGCCGAACAGCACGGTTGGACCTTCATCTCCTCCTGGGCCTATCCCCCCCGAACGTTGCCCCTGAGCACCAGACGTCGCAGCGCGAGTCAGCGGCCGCCGGCATCGCGAGGGGGCGGCCAGGAGAGCGGCCATCCACGGCGAGCCTGGGGTCCGGTGCCAAGAGCCGCCCAGGCACGCGGCTTGCGCCCAGATGGCCACGGGCCGATCAATCCACACATCCCTCCGCGGAATCGATTGCGATATTTTTCCCCCGCGGCGTGGCGCCGCCCCCGGATCCTCAATGGCGCCAAAATGGCGCCGCCCCCGCGACGTGGCGCCGCCCCCGCGACATGGCGCCAGAATGGCTGCGGACCGATGAATTCATACATCCCTCCGCGGAATCGACTGCATTTTCTTTCCCCCGCGGCGCGGCGGCGCCCCCTCGATCCCCAGTGTCAACGTTCGCGCCGAAGCCGGCGACGGCGGCCTTTGCAGTTGTGGGCCCCGCGGGGCCGCGTGGCGCGCGCCGCTGAGCACTGAAATTGGAGGGCGAGGCGTTAGATAAACAGCTACTGCGTCATTTCGCGGAGGGTTGTAGTATTCGCGAGCGCATACAGGGCAGGTTTTAATACATAGGCTTCTTTATATATACATATATATAATTTTAATAATGATTAGTTTATGAATAAATTAATGCATGAACTCATCCTTGCATTTATTAATCAACCCTTTATCTTTAATACATGGCCCGCACGCGGAGCATGAATAACAAACGGCGCTGTAAGTCCCACCAGCCCTTTAGGGCGTAGGCCGGTGGCTTAGAGCGCTCCCCCCCCATCGAGGAGGGGGTTCTCATTGCTTCTTAGTGATATAAGCCCCCTTCCGCACTCGACCTGCGACGAACCGGGACCATGCCAACACCCCCCGCCATCCATGTCACGAAAACAACACAAAATGAACTTTGAATCACAACGTGGATCATGCGCGGACGCTCCGCGATCACTTCTTTGCGCGGGTTTTTGACAGGGACGGTGGGGGTGCCGGCATATTACCTGCTGAGTGCAACCTCTTCCCACCATCTCTTGCAACAAGACAATACTACATGCACTTTGCATTAAACTCTGGATCATGCGCGGACGCCCTGATCACTTCACATAGGTTTTTGGCAGGGATTGCGGGGTGCCGGCATATTGCATGGTGCGTGCAATGCCAACACCCCCCAGCCATCCCTTGCAAAAGACGATTGAGATTGCACTTTGCACAAGAATCTGGATCATACGCGGACGCCCCACGATCACTCTGCATGTTGTTTTGACAGGGAGGGTGGGGGAAGGGTATCTTAAGGTTCTTCGTGCTCGTTGGATATTCTTGTGCATCCTGGGGAAGATACCCTTGGATGGTCTGTGTGGTTTGGCTGGTGGAAGATCTCATGTTCTGGGCCGGCACATCGCCTGCTGCGCGCAGGCCCACCATCCAATTCAACACAAGGACAAAGTTTGCCTTGCAGGGGTCGGCGGGTGGGGCGGATTGCTGCCTGCCGTGGGCAGGCCTACTCTTGTGGATGCCACGAGAATTGACACCCTAACAGTCCTATCATTTAATTTAAAATGTGTTTAAAATGCTTGAACATGCTCGAGACATGTTTTTGTTTTAAAAGAACATGTTTAGAACACCTTTCAAACATGTTTAAGACATATTTTATACATCTAGAGATTACTTGGCAACACGCGTCCTCTCCATGGATCGTCCTCCACAAGCCTACTCCGTGTCAAGAGCAGGTGCAAGGTGACTGCGGATGCACACCCACACACAAACACAGTGCTGGCAAGCCCGCTGTCATTGTGCACTTGTTTGGCAGGGACTGTGTGGCGGTCGACATATTGCCCAATGTGGCTCACCTGGTGCGCGTAGCGCCGCTGGCACGTGCGGCGCACCTCGCGGGCATCGCGCACCCTGCTGGCGTCTGCATCGATTCCCGATGGATGTCGATGGCGATCCCTGCCTGTGCTGAGTAGCAAGAGTGCGGGCGGGAGTGAACGACACGGCTTGCGGCTTGGATTAGCTTGACCCCTCCCCCTGGGTCTGGACGGGGAGCGGCCACCAGTTGGAGCATCCACGAAGGCTTTAGCCCAATATTGGCCTCCTGACGACGACGGTGATTACGGCGACGACGGCGACGACGGCGACGACGACGGCGACGACGTCGAAGGCGACGGCGATGGCGGCGGCGGCGAGGGCCTGAGCCACTGCGGCGTCGGCCGCGTCCGCCTGGCGGGCCCGCTTCAAGGCCCGCTCCAGCTCCACCTCCGCGCTCGCCTCGGGGGCGGCCCCGCGCTGCTTCGGCAGCAGGAGAGAGGCGGGGCCCCGGAGGGGGGGAGTGCCTCGGCTGGACCACGAGGGTGATCCTCCCTCCGCTGCTCTCCCTGCCTCCTCCTCCCTCCTCCCTGCCTCCCTCCTCCCTCCTCCCTCCTCCCCTCCTCCTCCCTCCTCCCTCCTCCTCCTCCTCCTCCCTCCTCCTCCTCCTCCTCCTCCTCCTCCCTCCTCCTCCTCCTCCTCCTCCTCCTCCTCCTCCTCCTCCTCCTCCTCCTCCCTCCTCCTCCTCCTCCTCTCGGCGGGCCCCGGAGGGCCCCTTCACCCTCAAACTCAAGCAGGATGGATGAGTGGGTGCCCTGACCTCGTGGCCTAAGACGGGGGGGCGATGCGCGACTACCACCTCCTCCTCACTGAAGAGGCCTTGGGTCACACAAATAAATAGACACAAATAACAGGATTCCCCTATAGTTCCCCATGTGTTCTGGGTTTTTGTCTTCCCCCCTAATTCCCACATTTTCCCATATTTTCGGGGCAAACGACGATTAATTGTGTCTGTGTGTTTTTTTTCCCTCCTGACTCACCCCAATGCCCCTTTCGGACCCGATCGAACCCAAGCGAGGGGGTGGCATCTCTTGCGGGCAGGCTGAAGTACGGGTCTGCGAGCAGCAAGCGGGCACAGAGGAACAACAAACCGCCATGCACACAAACTTTCGGAGGTCCGCGCGGACCTCCGAAAGTTTGTGTTACCCGTCGGTCGGCAGAAGCGGGTAGCAGCATGAACTAGGAAGGCACTGAAAATAGATGGGGTTTCCGCCCGCCCCCTAAAGAGGACGGAACAAGGTGGGTGAAGCCGCTCGGTCACTGAAGCAAGACGGCGCCTTTTTGGGCTATTTTTTTGGGGTATCTTTTATCTGTCGTCGACAATCCCCCTGTAGGGAAACAGGCCCGACATAAGCCTAAAGTAGACTGGAAGCTGGGAGTCCCCCAACAAAAACTTACCTCCAACGACCGCCGTGAAAATAGATTGGGCTTCCGCCCGCCCCCTGAAGAGGACGGAAAAAGGTGAAGCCGCTCGATCAGTGAAGCAAGACGGCGCCCAAAGTAGACTGGAAGCTGGGAGTCCCCCAACAAAAACTCACCTCCAACGACCGCCGCGCAATGCCGGGCCTTTTCCGTCGAGGGCCGGCTCCCCGCCGTCGTGTGCTCGGCGCGTGGGCGGCCAGGAGGCCCGGGCCCCCCCCCCCCCCCCCCCCTGACTCCGGATCCGCCCTACTTCGGCTTTTTTTCCAACTTAAAATTAAAATTGCGTCGGAAATCCACCTATAAGAGGCCGAACAAGTAGGGCGGAAATTGCTGCACCCAACACAAAATAGGGCGGACATCCACAGAAACAGCAACAGAAGAGTAGGGCGGAAATTGGCATCGGCGGGGCCTGAAAAGTAGGGCGGAAATTCCAAGCCCCACTCACGAATTTCCCCAAAGTAGGGCGGATCCGGAGTCAGGGCCGCGCCTCCGTGCCGGCTCTGGGGCGCCGCCTGCGCGGGGGCCGCGCGGGCGGCCTCACTTGGCCATCCGCGCGGCGCGGTCCTCGATGATGCTCAGCTTCTCCCCGTTGCCCTGCCAGGAAGGACGAGAGACGGCATCGACAGACACTGTGGGAGGTCCGCACGCCTTTCGTCTTCGAAGGGGCCCCAGGACACACAGATAAATACACACAAGCAAAAAGATTCCCCCTATTTTTTCTCATATGTTCTGGGTGTTTGTCTTCTCCCCCCCACTTCCCATATTTTCCCACATTTTCCTGGGAGTCGACGATTAATTGTGTCTGTGTGTTTTTGTCCCCTCCTGAGTCTTGACAGCGTCCACGACGGCCCAAAGGGGCCCCAAAGACCGTCCCAAGATGGCCCAGGAGGCCCTCGAGATGGGCCCCAGACGGCCCAGGAGTGCCCAAAGATGACCTGCGGGGCCCACAAGACGGCCCAAGAGGGGCCAAAAAGCGAGGGTACAAACTGACATTTCCAGCCGTTCCCCCAGAGATGGCCTCAAGAGTCCCCCAGAGACCCCCGAGGCGACCCGAAGAGGCCCTCTTGGACCTGCGCTGGACCCCCCTTCCTGGCGCGCGGAGCGCGCCAGGGATGGCGCGAGAGGCGGCACCAGGGGGTCCAGCGCCGATCCAAAAAATCCAAGCGGACTTCCAAAGCGTTGATGTCTATGCTGTTTGTTGTTCTTCGGCCTTCGGCAGAGAGATCCACGGCTTGCCGCCCGTGCCGATCACGAAGACGTTCTGCATGCGGGTCGCGAACGCGTGCCCGTTGCTGTCCTTGACGTGCACGATCTCGAAGGAGCCCGGGTGGCGCTCGCGGTGGGTGATGTCGCCGACGCGGCCCATGTTGTTCCCGCCGCTGATCATGACCTTCTGGCCAGGCTCGAACTTGAGGTGGTCCTTGATCTTGCCCGTGGCGATGTCAATGCGCACGGTGTCGTGGGCCTTGATGTCTGGGTCGGGGTAGCGAATCGTACGCCCGTCGTGGGTGATGGCGTAGGGGATGCCCTTCGGTCCACGCTCCACCTTCCTGACACGCGCGAGCTTGTAGGACGCCTCCTCCTTGGAGATCTTGTGCAGGCAGAACTTGCTCTTCGTGTTGTACAGCAGGCGGAAATTCTCCTTGGTCTTGTCGATCTGCACCACGTCCATGAAGCCGGCCGGATAGAACATGTCCGTGCGGGTCTTTCCGTCCACCTTGATCAGGCGCTGCATGGTGATCATCTTGCACTCGCGGTACGTCAGCGCGTACTTGAGGCGCTCGCGCAGCAGCACGATGAGCGGCAGGCACTCGCGCTGCTTGTGCGGGCCGGCGGACGGCTTGGGCGCCCAGCGGCCCCTCAGCTTGTCCAGCATCCAGTGCGACGGCGCGAACATGCGCTTCAGGTGCTTCTTGGGTCCGCGCGCCATGGTGCCTGCAGAGAAGCCCGCGCCGAACGGCCGCGCTGGTTGGTGCTCTGGCAGGGATGCCTCCCTCGGTCTCTACGACGGCTGCCTTCCCGTTCGGCCAAGAGTGGCCGCGGAAGGGGGCAGGGGATGACGAGGAAGAGGCGTTGCTGCACGTAGCACGCTGGTGTTTCGAGCAACCAGGACGGGAGCGAGGGCGGTGAGGGAGAGGAGGAGGAGGAGGAGGAGGAGGATGAGGAGGAGGAGGAGGAGGAGGAGGAGGAGGAGGAGGAGGAGGAGGGAGAAGAGGAGGAGGAGGAGGAGGAGGAGGAGGAGGAGGGAGAAGAGGAGGAAGAAGAGGAGGAGGAGGAGGAGGAAGAGGAGGAGGGAGTCGGCGGCGGCCCCGGCGACACGCTGTGCTCTGCGAGCGGGTAGCGCGTCGCTCCGCTCCGCGGGGCGGGGGGCGGAGAACAGCTCGCGACTCTTTGGCGCTCGGGGGCAGGGACGTGGGCCGCGCGCCGCGCCGAGCCGTAGGGCCCCAGAGCCGGCGGAGCGACGCGCCAAGCCAGAGTGCCTCACCGCGTCTGGACGAGAGGCGGAGCGCCATTCGCGTGCTCCCGCCCAGGACGACGGACACCCCCGCTTTGGACTGCCAGACAAACCTGCAGAGTGCAGGACGCGTGGCCTCCAGAAGGGAGGTCGAGCCTTCCCGCGGGCGCCTGCTGGGCCAAAGGCGCGTCTGCGCGCGCCCGCACGACCCCTTGTCAGCAGCGGAAGGCGGGTCTCACGCGCCAGCCAAGCCCCAACGCAACTTCAGGGTGAAGATACGGTGTGAGGCGTGCAGCCCTGCCGTCATGAGATATTGGAGCCCTACTCATAGTCCAGTCCAGTCCAGTCCAGCGTCTCGCCCTCTCCCTCCTCCTCCTCGTTATCCTGCTGCTGGTCCTCCTCCTCCTCCTCCTCCTCCTCCTCCTCCTCCTCCGCCTCTTCCTCCTCCTCGCTTCCTCATCATCATCATCCTCCTCGCTTCCTCCTCCTCCTCCTCCTCCTCCTCTTCCTCCTCTTCCTCCTCCTCCTCCTCCTCTCCCTCCTCCTCTCTCCTTGCCATCTCCGCAGGGAAAGGAAAGGGGAGAGCGCCTGCATCCTCCACCCCATGCACTCCATCCACCGTCTTCCGTCGTCTATTGTCCCTCCCCACATCTCAGCCTCCCCTCTCCATACCCCCTCCTCCTCGTCCGCCCCCCCCATCGTCCTCCATGTTCCCCACTCCTGCCTACCCCTTTCTTTCTTCCTTCCTCCTTTTCCTCCTCCCAGGCATGGCCGCATGCTGCCGAGCTGCAACCTCGCCCACAGCCCCGCGCTGAATCCCACCAGCCCTCTGGGCGTGAGTGGTCTAATGAGCTCGTTCTGCTAACCCCGTTCTTCCCCTGGGGAGAGGGCTCCCCCTCGCCCCCTCGAGGGGGTGGAGCGTCCAAGATGGCCCAAGATGGCTTCAAGAGGGCCCCAGAGAGATCAGGATGACCTCCAAGATCGCTCAAGATGGCCCAAAATGGTTTGAAATAGCCTCCAACATGCCTCCAAGAACCTTCAAGACCGCCCCATGACGGCTCCAAGTGCCCTCCGAATCTCCCAAGGAGGCCCCCTTGAGGCCAACATCCTTCCCAAACCGGAGAGAAATTAACGATTGTTGCTTCGACGGCCCCGACAGCGCCCAAGACCGCCCCAAGAGCGCCCAAGAGGATCTTTTGAGGGCTCCGACTGTGGGGGGGGGGGGGGGCGTACTTCGGAGCCTCCCCCTTTTGACCGATAGCTCCCAAGATGGCCCCAAGAGGGCCCCCGAGTCCCCCAAGAACGGCCAAAGAGGCACCCAAGAGGGTCTCAAGAGGTGCCCAGGAACCTCCTAAGAGCGTTCCAACATAGCGACAAAGGCTTCCAAAATGGCGCCAATATGACCCCAAGAGGCATACCACAAGCAGCTAGAGCCAAAGACTCGCAAAGACTTCGATGACTGATTCCTGTCGTCGTCGTCGTCGTCGTCGTCGTCCAAAAGGGGCCGCATGCTGCTACACATCCCTGATCAGGACAACTCGGCCGTTGACTGCTTTGGGATGGGCTGGTGGGAATGTGCGAAGCGTCACAAAGTTTACGCGTCTCGATCACACTCTGCACCGATCGCGCTCGGACCATGGGCGTCACTCTGGGTGGCCGACCGGTGCGCCGTCGTCTATCGGAGGGATGACGTCCTGCTCTGAGGACGGGATGGGCGGCTCCGTGTCGTCCGCGGGCATGTTCAGAACGGCCAGCGTGCCATCCTGGCACAACGGGTCCTCCTCCTCCTCCTCCTCCTCCTCCTCCTCCTCCTCCTCTTCCTCCTCCTCCTTCAGGCCAGCGCGAAGCAGGGCCTCCTCCTCCTCCTCCTCCTCCTCCTCCTCCTCCTCCTCCTCCTCCTCCTTCAGGCCCTGAGCACCACACAATGCAATCGACGGGCAGGGCAAGCAGCGCGCTGCAGGGCCCAGGGCAGGGACCCCGCGCAGCGGAGGCACGAGCAGCGGCAGCGGCAGCACGGGTAGACGCCGGAGCGGCAGCACGAGCTACACCAATCGACGGCCAGCATGGCTGTCGCAAAGGTGCTGCAAGGGAGAGCAGCAGGTAGAAGCGCGATGTCCTCCTCCTCCTCCTTCTCCTCCTCCTCCTCTTCTGCCTGATCCTCCTTCTTCTCCTCCTCCTCCTCCTCCTCTTTCTCCTCCTCCTCCTCCTCCTCCTCCTCCTCGAACCCTTTATGCCGTACCAGGATACTCCCAACCTTGCCACCCAGCTGGCCGATAGGGGCCCACAGAAGGGGGCTTCACCGCGTAAGCACAAACCAACACGCAAAAACCAACACAAAGTCGACGGCCTTCACTTTTCAACATGGGCGCTCTGCCGTCGACGTTGCAACATGCGTGGTGGGAGTGGGACACGGCGCGCTTCGCGCACGAAGCGGTGACATGCCGCTCCCACCCCAGCGCCACACGCACACTCTCCGAAAGTTGCGCTCCCGCCTCTGACTCTCGCCACTTCGTTCGCGGCGAGGTCGCACGCGGAACGGGCGAAATATGCAGCTCTCGCTCAGGAGCGCCGCGCAGGCGCCGAGGCGCGCGCGATCCGAGAGGCCGAAGAGAGACTCAAGACAGCACAAGAGCGTTCCAAGAAGGAAATCGCTTTACTCCCTTAGGGAAACGTGCATTTTCAGCAGATTCGCTGTTCGGGTGCTAGCAGCGTCCAAAACAGCCAAAAAGGCCTCTGGCATCGCCCCAGGACGGCTCAAGAGACCCCAAGAGAGCCTTTAGACGGCCTGGATGGACCCAAAACTGCCCAAAGAAGCACCAAATTGGCCAAAACAGGCCCTCACAAGGCCCCCAAGAGAAGCCCAAGAAGGCCATGGGAGGCCCCGGAAAAGGCCAGGGGAGGCCACCAGGAGGGCCCACGTAGCCCCCGCAAGGTCCCTAGAGGGCCCAAGCTCCCCAGCACGGCCCAAGATGGATCAGGACGGCTCGAGAGGGCCTCGAGCCGGCCCACCAAGGCTCCAACAAAGCCCACACGGCATGTTCCACCAAACTGACCCGAATCCCGGGTTCGCAACCACACTTCCGGGAAATCTGTTGCGAACCCGGGATGCGGTGCATTCCGCAATAATTATTTCTTTTCGCGTGCCCCGTTGCGACCCGTTGCAACTTGACATCCTCGGCTTGGCATTGCTTTGTGCTTTCCGGCATTGCTTGACATTGCGTCGGTTTGCCTGGCATTGATTCGCATGGCTTGCCATTCCTTCAGATTGCGCACCGGGGCACCTGAGCCACGAGCCGGCCAACGGGCGGGCCTACAAAGGCCCTTTTGCCGTCATTCACCGCCAGACATTTCTGCAAGAGTGTACGTACACATGAAACCCCCCGACGGCGCCATCTCTTCCCCTTTTCCTGCTCCTCCTCTGGGTCCTCCTCCTCCTCCTCCTCCTCCTCCTCCTTCTCGTCCTCCTCTTTCTGCCGCTCCTCGTCCTCCTCCTCCTCCTCCTCCACATCCTCGTCCTCCCCCACATCCGCTTCCCTCTCCTCGCTCCCCGCGATTCGCTCCCTCCTATCCTTCGCCCTCCACCCGGCGCTTTTCGGGAGCCCCCGGAGGCCCAGGAAGGGCCAGGGACCTCCCGAACTGTCGAAGACTTCCGAAAACCACCGCAGTGAAGGGGCCGAATTTCCAAGGCCAATAGGGATGGCGCGAACGACGAACATATGCAAAGCCTTAAGGACCAAGGTGCATGGCGCGAAGCGCCAATGCATTCTTGTATAATATCAAGAATAAGCACGACAACTCGTCAGAAGGAATACCTGTGCATAAGCCCGCACAGAAGAAATGACTACCAACCAATCCACTAACAACTGTGCTGTAGAGTCGTCATCCACCCCGGGTGCTACACCGATTACCCCACTGTACTCCAACCACGACCCCTGCTTCTAGATCTACCGTTCCAACAACAACAACAGCAACAACAACAACAACAAAACAACAACAACAACAACAACAACTACGACTACTACTACTACTACTACTACTACTACTACTGCTGCTTATACATATATTGGTACTTCTACTTCTACTTATACTTATACGTTGACTTCTACTTATACTTCTACTCATCCTTTACTACTACCACTACTACTACGACGACTACTACTACTATGATTACTACTACTACTACTACTACTACTACTACTGCTACTACTACTACTACTACTACTGCTACTGCTACTGTTACTGCTACTACTACTACTACTACTACTACTACTACTACTACTACGACGACGACGACGACGACGATGACTACTATTACTAGTATTGCTACTGCTGCTGCTACTACTACTACTACTACTGCTACTACTACTACTGCTGCTACTACTATTGCTCATACGACTATTACTACTACTTCTGCGACTACTACTGCTACTGCTACTGCTACTGTTATTATTATTATTATTATTACTACTACTACT